AAATGGATAGGGACAGGGAAGCAAACATAAGATGTACGTGGTTCACCCAGATTGGCTACGTACACGGAGTAAAGGAGTTCTCATTAATTGTGAAGGATTTACACAAGTACATAGGTTCAAGCTCTCTTTTAGTGAGTACTAGTGATTGATTTAGTACAAATGACATTTGAAAATATTGTGATAGAATGATCTCTATTTATAGAAGAGATTTTCTAGTTTCATTCTGACATTGACACGTGTCGTGTTGTGATTGGCTTCTGATGTTGACACGTGTCGCACTATGATTGGCTTCTGATGTCGACATGTGTTGTGCTGTGATTGGCCTCATGGTTGGAGGGAAACTCTTCTGGGTCCTTGACGGTATAACGTTGACTGGTGCTCAGTAGTTTCGGGATTGGTCATGTATGGTACAAACAAAAGACATGGGGAGGCTATTCAATGGATTATAAATGAGAACTTAATTTCTAGCTTTACTATTTTCGTTTGTTTTTTTTTTTTTTCTTTCTTTAATAAGGACTTAAGGTCCATTAGTAAGGTCTTTAGTGACTTTTTAATTGGAATGTAGTAGGCTATTTGTTAGTTTTTCTAAGCTTTGCCGAGGGTAATATAAGGAGACTATTTCTCCTTACTAGAATTAGTTAGTGAATGACGCCACCAAATAAAAACATCATCATATTCCATAGAAGCTGCGGCAAGGAAGAAAAGATGGGAGAGCTTTTCTGGTTTCTTTTCTTTGCTAGGGTTATGATGTAGCCTAATCATGAATACTTAATTTTCTTGTGACATTGTGTTGACCCTAAAAACCACCAAGCTTACGTGGCGCGCAGGCCGAGTAATTAGTAAGCTAACTAAGTCATTTGGTTGTGTGCAAGGCGTGCCAACTAGACAGCCGAGCTCGGCCAGTGAGTAAAATTTGTTGATGTTGCGTTGGGTGCGCTGTTGACTTCTTGATCGTGCGACTGCGACCAAAGAAGGAACACGTCTCGGCCTTCGGGTTCTAGTGCTTGAAGACAAGGTTGCTAGTTTTGCGAAGTTCAATATCAAATTCGGCTTTCAATGTGCCAAATATAGTAACCTGTAACACCTAACTTCGTCGAGAAGGCAAATGAGATGACCTCTACCAATAAGGATTTGAATCCTTCTTGACTGAGATTTGGATAGATAACTAGTCAGCCCCTTCCCAGTGCTGTTTATCCAAACTGAAGGTGCTCCGCGGTCGGCTGATTCTACCACAACAATGCTGTTTATCCAAACTGAAGATGTCACTGATTGCCTTCACAGTGCTGTTTATCCAAACTTAAGATGTGTTAGTGGAAAAAGAAAATAAAAATCTCAAGGTTGTTGAGAGGTTTCGTGTAGAGCGAGAGTTCGCGTAAGGCAGTTTGTGTGTTGAGTTCGAGAGGCCTGAAATGTTCCACGGTGTCTTGTATTTATAGGGACGAGTATGCGCTGCTTGATAAGCTGATAAAGACTCCCAAGCTATTAAAACTCTTTCACTAACTTGAGCCTCGGATAAGCCTTACCCTAAGACTCTGAACTTAGTCAAAAAATGCAACCAAATTCGATCCTTGTGTTTAGTCTTATCACATCGAATCCCAAGATAACCTGCATGCTTGGATTTGAACAAATAACGTTCATCTAAACAACTACCAATTATATATATATATATAGTTTGCGCCTTTCACATGGCATGCAGATGCAGACTATACGGCAGCCACCAATTATATATACATACATACATATATATAATTATATAGCTGGTAGCCTTTCACACGACATGCAGGCTAAGTCCATCATCAATTCAATTCATCTGACAACATCCATAAATAACCCATCCTACTTAGGTCTCTTATCTCATCATTATCCAAGCCTTCCAAATCCCATGATATGCCACGTGATAAGAATCCAAGCCAAGTTGCTCTAATCCACACGGTATACTGCTAACAAATCCAAATTAAATCGGACTGTTCCGTCTGTCTCTTCGTTGGGGCTATGATTTTTATCCCATTTATTTTGTACAAGAAAATCGAGATAATTTATTGAAAGATAATTATTATGATTAAAAACCATAATATTATCTCTTAACAATAGAAAATTATCTTAACTTTCTCATCCGACGATTAAGAACCATGCTCACTTAACTGCCTCGATTACTCGGGCCGATGATGTAAAATCGGGTCCAAACACATTGTTATTGTCAAGTTTTTCTTCTTTATTGAGTATCTTTTGTTATTCGTAATGCGCTTGATTTTTATTTAGATGCTTGATCACTATCTAGGTTTCAATTGAGTTGATTTGGTGCAAGTTAGAGTAGATGCCATATTTAACTTGGGTTTCGCTTCTTGCAATTGATACCATAAACACCTATTTGTAGATGCTATGCAATTAGGGTTTGTGTGATTTTCCAATGATTTCCATAGAGCTTAATGGGTTCTTGTTCAAATTCATCTAGATGTCATAGAGGATTAACATGTAAGGATACTTTTGATGCAACAAGATGCCATGACTGTTAAATAATTTAGGAAAAATCAATCATCAATATTGCGGAACTATTTGAGCATAACATATTAAGGGAATTAAGTAGAATTAGTTACGGTGAATTCGGATGCCCTAGTTCTTCTTCTCTTATGTTTTTTATTTTATTATTCATGCATTTTATTTCAAGCTTTATTTTATTTTAGTTTTTTCAAAATCTCCTTTTTTTTTCGTTAAAGCTTCTCCACTATAATTTGTTTCAATTTAGTTAGTAAGACTTTTAGAATCAATTCGATCTCTATGGGGCGATATCCATGCTTATATGTTATACTATCATTTGATTCGTATACTTGTGAGCACAAAAATTCGAGACTTAATGAGCCTAATTTTGGTTATCTAATTTTCACAACAAGTTTAAATGTTAATTGTTAGTTTTTAATAATTTTCTTGAGTCTTTTGTTTAGCTTACCCATTTGTTTATTGTTTTTGCAGAAAACTGGAGCCACGTAACCATGCATGTTGACGGTGGCAAAATTCAAGTTTGGGGGTAGATTGCCATTTACATCTTCACTTGCTCGTCTCCTTTAAACTCGGAAAGTTTCTTTGTCCAAGAGTTGTTTTTATTTATTTTTATTTTTCTTTATCTCTGTCGTTTTTTTTCCTGGCATGAACAATTTCTAATTTAACTATAGGGGCCTTAATTATTAAGTGAAAGCATCATTTTTTTTTAACTCTGACCTCTAGAGTTCAATTTTTCTTTCGTTAGTCTTTAGTTGTTTTTCAGTCTTTTTCGCTTTAGTTCTAAAACAAATGAAAAACACATAAAAAAAATATAAACTTAAGAAAAAAAATCCAAACACATTTTTTTTCTTTGAGTCTTGTTTTTATTGGCTACTTCCGAATTCAATTATTCGGTCTTAATTTTCTCATAACTTTCAAGAAATTTAAGCTTGACATTAGTTGTTTACATTATCTTTGTTTTGGTCATATTTTTTTATGATCATTACCGGCCCTCTAAGGTTTAGGTGTGACTAGCCCTATGCTTGGAGAAAAACTTGTGTGTGACTTTGCTTGCTACTGGACTTTGCTGAGTGACACTACAATTCAATTAAAACTCGTCACATGGCAAGTCTTAAATATATTGTTTTATCAAATTTTTATTTAAATATTTTTATAAATATTTTTCCTACAATAAATATACACCATGGGATTAATCTAATGGTTTTTTTCCTCTTTTCCTCTCCCTCTATTTTCTTCCAAATTTTCTCTGTCGTCTTCTTCCCCATCTATATCCTTCCTTTCTTCATAAAAATATGCAGAAGAAACAATTAAGCCATCTTTTCCAACTATCATGAAATGAAAGAAAAGAAAATTCCAACACATATTTATTTTTTACAAAAATTGTTTGTTCATTCTTTTTCCAGTTATGAGCAACATTTTATTGTCCAGCACATCACTTGTATACAATTTCATACAACTAAAAATAAATAAATTTGATGTAAATTTTATAGAGATTCTTTGCTGAGTGCTTGCGGCATTGAACAGTAAGAAGAAACCCTAATAGCAGTGTTAAACTTTCATTTAGTTTAGTATGGAATTTTTTTTTTTATAATTAGAGGAATTGGGGTTTTTATTTAGAGGTGAAAATCCTGTAGATATAAATTTTAATGGACATGGCGTGCAAATAAGAAAAGTCAAGCACATCTGGTAGAGAAAATCAGTTAAGTGGGTTCGGTACGGTTACTGTACCAAAACCCTCGTACCAAATTTTCGGTTTGGCAAAATCTATTACCATTACCATACCAAACTTTCAGTATACCGAAGTTCGGTATTGCCAAATAGTTCGGTTGACATGGTATGACAATGGTAATTGCCACTTTGTTCTGGGACAAAATCTGTTTTTGCTTTTTTAACCCAATTCAAGGGCAAAACTTTTTTATTGTACCTTTATCTCACACATTGTAGCCTAAATTCATCTATTATTCATCATTCACAATCTACACGAACAATAATTCAAATGATGCATCAAGATTTATGATGAAAATTAAGCTTACAATCCAAATAGAAGTTACGAACCAAATCAAATAGAAGTTAACAATCCAATTAGAAGTTAAAGTTTCAAACCAAATGAAAATTGAAACTAAACTTCAAAATGTAAAATTCATTGATCAATTCTTCAAGTTTTAGATGTCGAAGCTTTTGGAGGAGGCATTGAACTTGTAGAAGATTGAGCTTGTGTCAAGCCTACATTACAAACAAAGAAAACATATTAATAGCAAGAAGAATTAAAGTTGAAAACCATTTAACAACAAATTTACTAAAAAAATTAAAGCCTATCTTACTTGTTTCCACTTCTTCCATTTCTTTGTAAAATTGAAGCATATATTCCGTTGGTTCCTTGTAGAAGTTTACTTCATCCGCCCTAAGCCAATCGCTAGTACACACTTGTGCCTCTACCATTTTAGGTGTCAAGGATGCCCTAAAAGGGTCCACAACCCTTCTCCCTAGGCTAAATGCATTTTTACTGGCAACGGTAGAAGTGAGAATTGCAAAGATATCCTTGGCTATTTGTGAAAGAATTGGGAACTCTTTTGTGTTTGATTTCCTCCATTTCAAGATATCAAAGCCACCAACAACAATGTTAATATAAGGAGTGGCGAAGCACTTATTAACTTCATTAGATATCTCCAAAAGGCGTTGCTCCCTCATTTCTTGTATAAGCTCCTTCATCATTTCAATTTTGTTCTCATCACCCCAACAAGCTTGAATTATGTACTCCTCAAGTAGTTCCACATCTCCCAATGGAGCCCTAATGGTAGTAGAAGAACCCCTCCTATACTCATTATACAAATGAAGCAAGCATTTTTTTAATCTCCTTACACATCCAAGCTATCTTTCTGTCATCCCATCCAAGTGTTTTGAGACTAATAGTAATCATTTGAAATTTATAACAAGGTCTAGAACTTAGCCAAGAAACATAAGTGGGTTCACATTCTCAAAACTTCCTCAATACTTGTTAAATTTATACATCATTGTAGTAGCCACCCTTTGCAATGTAGGATTTGGTAGGATCTTTCTTTTTCTTCTCAATCTCTATTTGTAAAGCAACCACTTGATCCCATAGAAAAGTTGATGTAACATTTTTTGTTGCACTAAGCTTCAAAGTAGAATCATGAAACTTCTTAAGAAAGTGCGTAATCCTCCTCATCCGGAGGCCCCACTCTCTTTCCCAAATTCTTCTTTGAATCCATCTCCATTTCTTCAAAATAATCATGAAATTGCACATTCTTCTCCGCCATCTTAAGATACACCTTCCTAAACTTGTATGCAACGTCAATCATTTTATATGTTGCATTCCACCTTGTAGACACATCAAAAGGCATATTTGACATCTTGTCCATCTTGAATAAGATAGCAAAATCCTTGAACTTATCCAATCTAGCCGGTGAAGAATGAATGTACTTGACACAATTTCAAATCCCCTCAACTGACTTAGCAAGCTCCTTTAACCCACTCTTGACTACTAAATTTAAGATATGACAAGAACACCTCATATATATGTACTTCCCACCAACCAAGAGAGAATTAATTTCCCTTAGCCTCTTTTTCATGTAGTCAACCGCAACATCATTGGCGGAAGCATTATCAACCGTAATGCTAAAGATCTTCTCCATCCCCTATTGGTTCAAACACACCTCTAGAACTTTCCTAATGTCTTCTCCCTTATGACCTGTGATTTTTATGAGGTTTATGATCCGTTTGTGCAACTTCCATTCACTATCCATGAAGTAAGCGGTAACTACCATGTAGTTAATGTTTTGTACCGATGTCCAAGTATCGATTATGATACTTACCTTTTGATTATGCATTGCTTCAAATAACTTAAGACTGCTCCAACACATAAATCCCAAACACCGGCCGCAATCTTCTTCCTATTTGGAATCTTGAACCGAGGTTGAGCCTCTTTCATCATATCAACGTACCCACTACCTTCAACGAACTTAAATGGTTGTTCATCCTTAATGACAAACATCACAACCTTTAACTCAAGTTTTTTTTGGTTAAAGGTGTGGGGGACCAATCCATTGCCTACAGATTCATTTGTTAAGACCGGTTGATTATTATCCACTTTCATATAAAGAGGTGAGTCTTTACAAGCTTTTCTAAAGTGATGTCCTATGCTTGATGTCCCATTTTTCCTAAGATCGGCCGGAACCTCTTTTTAGCAATATGAACAAATTGCAAGGTGAATGTATTACTCTTTACTCAAGGTTCTTTTCACTCTCTTAGCATGTAACCAACACTCCGATCACAACCCACTTACATCTTCATATTCATTAGGCACATCTCTCTTACCACTTCCTACACATTCATCCCCCTTCTCCTTGATTTTGTTGTTGAGGTTGTGTTTTAAGTGTTTGGGGTTGAGTGGTTGAAAGTGTACTAGTAATAGAGCCACACAGAGATTGGCTTGTCCTATACTTCATCTTGACCAAATACCAAAAATAAAACACAACATTATATCGTATACGCATCATATCCAAATATAGTAGAAGCTAATTCGTATAAACATCATACCAAAAATAGCACCCATTCCAATTGAATCAATTAAAAAGCAAATAAAAAGCAAGTCATGATCATAGTAATTCATTAAAGTTGTTCAAAGTAAGCAGAATCATGCATCACCTTTAAAAAACTCATGATCAAAGTAAGCAATTGGATTATGGAAAAAGTCTCCCTATATTTATCTCACTTTTATATATGAAATGATAGTAGGCATGCTGCATGTATCCCACACAGGCCTTTCTGTCACACACGGACACACTCAGCTAAAGCTAATGCCTCATCCCTTCACATTTCACACCCAAAACCTCGAAACTAAACCCAACAAAGCAAATTATACAAACCCAACAACCCAAAAGCAGAAAAGCATAGAAGAAAAAAAGATATGCATCATTGACAAGTGATAACTTGATCAAAAGGTCATGCAATTCCTAATCGATTAAGTCTAATTCCATTTTATAAATCAATTACAAATCCCCAATTTATCAATTTAGGGTTTCTAAATTTTTTTTTTATCTAACTCTAGAGAACTAACCTTGATAGATGGAGTCGCGGGAGAGACGAAGATGAGATGGATGCATTTGTTCAACGGGAAGTGTTTGATGGGAGAATCTGAGATGGGTAGGTGAGTTTTTGTCTCCAGCATAGAGAATAGAAGTAGAAGGCTGAAATGAGAGAGAGTGAGTAGTTTGTGACTCTGTGTCTGTAGGGTTTTATTTTCAAATTATTAGAATATTATAAATATGTGTTATATAATTATATATTATATTATATTTTGGGTACAATACGGTAATACCATGGTAATGGTATCCATTATCAATACCGTACCATGAAATTTCGGTGCGGTACAATACCGTACCATTACCGATTGGCATGACAATTTGGCAAAAAAATCCATCCCTAGTTAACACCGCTTGTGAAGCCACAAATTGGGACGAAGACGGTAGACAAAAATTGGAGAAAATTTTAATGGCTTTAATTTTTTTTCTCGTATTCTTATGAAGAAAGGAAAGATACAGAATGGGGAAGAAGACCGAAGAAAAAATAGGGAAGAAAAAGGAAAGAAAGGAGAAGAGGGAAAAAAATGCACCATTCGATTAATCTTATGTTGTATATTAATTAGTAGGAAAAATAATTAGGAGAGTTTTAAATCTAAAAATGAAAAACAAATATTCAAGACTTGCAATGTGGTGAGTTTTGATTGGTTTGTTGTGCCACTCAGCAAAATCTAGTGGTAAGCAAAGCCCCACACAAGTTTTTCTCCTAGACTTGTGTTTAAGTGGGAATATTCTAAGATATTTGTGTAAATAAATATATTGGAGTAATTAGGTAAATATCCTAAATAGATGAGATTATGATTACTTACTTAAAAAATGTCTTCTTCGATTATGAATGTATTTATGATAAGAAATACCTTTGACTTAATAGGGGTAGTCTTGTTTTTATTGGGAAATAATCCATGTGTTAGCTCCATGATTTTTGGAATTATTTTTTGCTTCACAAATGTCCCTACACATGATGGTTGCTCTCAGGAAATGGCAGGAGGTGTAGGAATCTAAAACTGCAATGGAATTTGTGTCCCAATTTGATGTAGCTTCCTCGTTGATTTGGATTTTAAATTCTTCCACGAAAGGGAATGTAATTACCATCGAAACCTATTTAAGTTTGTGTCAAGCAAAGGATTAAATAAATTTGGAGTGCAATTAAAACCCCGCAAGAAAGAGAGAAAGCCAGGGGATATTTATTTCTCCTCCCTTAACAATCTTCTTTGCTTGCCCGTGCAAAGAATTGTGTTCTGTTGGTTTTCTTCTTTTCCAAGCTAAGAAAAATTTAATTTTCTCCATCTTCTTGATTTTTTTGGAGCTTGGGCCTTGAATTTTGGTCGACGGGGGTCAAGGATGTGAATAAAATGCCACGGTTATGTGGGAGAAGCAGAACGAGACTGCTGCTGGGTAGTCAGCTCGGCGGAGTGCCGGGCCACATGCGCGTGGACCTAGGTGTTGGGGCGCCAGTACTGGGCTGCTCGAGAAGGGCCACTAGGCACAGACCCATGTGGCTGCAAGGGATGTTGAGCTTGGGCCTGTGCAGCGTGAGAGAATGCAGATTGTTAATGAAAATGTGGACTCTATTTAGCTTGCCAATTAAATTACTATTACACCCTTTTATACATACCTGGAAAAAAAATTAGGAATTGAAAATGAGGACTGTTAATGCACAAAATTGTAAAGTTAACAAACTAGAACAATGAACCCATGAAGGGCTTGGTATATGAACTGAAATGAAATGGACACAAGGACATATAGTGGTTCGCCCATAAACAGGGCTACACCCACTGTAGTCTGTTCATAAATTTGTGTTACAACTGAATCGGCTTAGGCGCCATCCCCAACTCTTTAACAACAAAAATTCTCGATGTCTGCAACTTAAGAAAGAAAAATGATGCCATTAAAACCCCTCGAGGCCTGCCTCAACCGCCTAAGCACACCTCAACCACGTCTAGGCCAGTTTTTGCCTACTTTTACTGGACAGAGGCAATTTCATGGTTGCCTCGCCTTTGAAGTTGTCTAGTTACGCCTCAGGGCGTTTTTTTTAATACACTAGTCCATTGTTACCTCTCTTCTCAGTTTGAAGGAGTCTCGCGTTCAACCTCCTTATCCCATTTATTTTGCATATATTTCTCTACCTATTTCCTCCAGCTAAATGTGTTCGACAACTCCCTCTATTTGTGACAGAAAGCTGGCCCTTCTATTGCATCACTTTATGTGGATATCCTCCAGCACACGGACATGCATATCAATAATTAACAAGTAGCGTTGTAACTAAATCATAAGTCGTTTAACTATTTGATTACCATCAACGTGGCATTTGTTTCGTTGAATGTATTTACTGTGGAAAACATCTTGTTCTAACGACTGTTATTGAAAATATTTTGTGACGTCAAACAAATTACCAATAATAATAAATGTTTCTTAGTGACTACGGAGTTTCTTCTTTGCTTGTCCTATGAAGAGTTGATCACCGCTGTTATTCTGCTACCCCAAGGTGGGTATTATAGAAGGGTAGGGTATTTCAGAGTTGTACAAACCAAGATTGGCTCTGATGAGTTGTTCTTGGATTTTCTATATTAATTTAGGCATGTAATCCCA